ACTTTGAAGAGTCGCTGAACAAGTGGACACTAAGCAAGGACTACCTGTATATTATAAATCAGTCAGACCCCACCTGCTGTCAGGACCCCACTCTTTGAGGAGGATCCATAGGAACAAGAAGGGCAATGGGGATGACCAGGAGAATGGAAACTGCCTCCTACAAAAGAAAATGGACCTTAGCCTTGCAAAAAAAACAAGGGATGGGAGAGCCCTTAAGAGGCCACAATCATTCCAGAGTGCAGGACACACAAGAACAGACCTGTTAGAGATCCCAGCTGAACGTTACAGAAAAAGCATTAAGAGTAGGAGCTGCCTGCCAGCGACCCAGGTAGTTGCTGGTCTGCCCTTCCTAGAGGTCGTCGAGCCAGGCTGGGGAGGCTTCAGCCTGGAACAGGGGCTTGGCGGCATGGTTACAGGGACCCCTTTCCGCTCTGGATTCGATGATGAAGTAACTGTCAAGACTGGGACCTTCCCACGGGAAGAGTAAAGGGCAGCCTCTTGCCTCCATCCCAGCCAACCGACCGTCCTCCTGGTGTCCTGGCAGGTCAGCCACAGAGGAGGATCGAGGAAGCGCCTTGGGCAGGCAGACGATTCTCCTCCCCCTTGAGTTTCTCCGCACTGGGGGTGCAGCCAAGAAGAATTTTCCCAGCCCAGTTTGGGGATCACAGGAATTGAACCGAGCATGCAAAACTCACTAACTCCCAGAGGCCATTTTTTAAAACCAATCGCCTTCAGGATCCTGCAACTTTTACCTCCTCCACCCGGCACACCCCGTGGCCCTCAGTGGCAGAGAGCAACAGCAACTTACCTCGCTGGTGCGAAAGATAACCCTGTACTGGTACTGAGGCCCATGGTCCCGATGGTCCTCCAGCTTCTCACGCCTGATGCTTACGGCCACGGGGCCCAGCTTCTCATCCACCCCAAAGTAGTTGAAGTGTTCTGATGGGGGAGATGGGGAAGGGAGCAAAAGACACCTTAGCCGTCCATCCTGCACTTCCCGCACTGCATGTGCCAGCAGTTACTTACGAACCTGCAGAAGTTCTCACCCCTCCAGCAAGGCTGAAACTTGGCCACCCAGCTAAGCCAGGAACAGCCCCCAGTGAGTCAAAAAGGACGTGAGACGTAACAAGAGGCTCGGGACACGCTTCACACCCAGGTGGGATATTGGAGATGCCTGAGAGGAACCCCTGGGGGCCTCAAAACTGTGTGGGGAGGGCGAGCAGGAGGAGGAGGAGGATAGAAAATCAACCCCTTAGGAATTCTGGCTTGCAGTTTCTATTCAATGAAGAAAGTGGCGTGTTCTGGGTCCAAGCCTCATCCTCAAGGGGTCTGCTCCCCCCCAGCGCCCAAAAGGGCAAAGCCAAAAAGTGCCAACCTTTGCCATAGAAGTAGTCCCGGTAGTAACGGGCCCCCAGGTCCACGTGCTCGAGGCTGTAGTGCTTCAACCGACCGACGCTGCGCTGCGGCTCCTGGGGCATCTCTAGCACGGAGATGCTGGCGTTTGTGCAGTAAGGGGCAGGCGCCATCTCCGCAAAGGCCCCCTCCCCATAGCTGCCCAGGGAGGCAGGAGAGAAACTGACGTTGCGCTCCCGCTCACCCCCAATCTCGTTGCGGAAGTGAGGGCAGCTGAGCAGCAGGCCGTTGCTGTTGCTGTCCCCCGGATCGTGCTCCAGATTCTCTTTGGAGTTCAGGTCCTCAGGGCTGAAGAAGGCGCCGGGGGGCTCCAGGCCTGCCAACCCGCAGGGTCGGGAGGTGGCTGAGACTGCAGCTGCTGAGCCGGCAGAGGCCGCTGAAGCTCCCGTAGTGGTGTTCCTCCGCTGGGCCACGCAGACGCGCCTGGCCACCACCTCATTGAGGTCAAAGAGCATGCTCTGGACATCATAGTGGGCCAAGCTCTTCTGGCACAGCCAGCCCCTGCCCACTTCCTCTGCCTCCCCCAGGGCCCGACTGGAGTCTCCCTCTGCCCTGCCGCTCCGTAGCTTCCGGAAGATGGAGTCCCCTCCGCCGCCCTCTGCTCGGAGGCCCTTCTTGCGGGGCTTCTCCTTGGGATGAAGGGGCAGCCCTGGTTCAGTTCTGGCCGCTGCCCTGGTACCCCTGAACGTGTCCGTCAGCTGCTGCCGCTGACCTGCTGCCGCTTTCCCGCTCTGGAACTCTTTCAGCATCTCATAGAAGCTTTGCTCCAAGACGCCCTGCGCGTTGATAGAGGACGTGCTGCCATACTCGCGGAAGAGGGGCAGGCCGCCGGCAAGCCTGGCTCCCCGGGGCTCTGCCGTGGCTTCCAAGTCGCACTCGCTGAGTGTGACCTCACTGCTGCTCCTGTTCCTCAGCGCCAGGAATCCCCGACCAGGGGACCGCGGCCACCCATCCTGGAACTCGGTGTCCTGGGACCTCCTCCGAGCCCGGCGCCGGGCACCATTTGGCCCCGAGGGGACTGCGGCCTCACTGGGCAGCTGCCCATTCTGAAATTCCCACAGCGCAGAGGCGAGGGCCTCTGGAGCCTTAACAGCGCTGGGGGCAGCTGGCTCCTTCAGCCCTTCTCTCTTGGGGGGCCAGTCGGCAATCCGGGCCCGCACCCCCATTTTTGGCATGGCAGGGGTTGTTGTGGCTGGTCGCAAGGGAGAAGCATCGTCTGCATGTGTGGTGCAGCCATTTTGGGCCCAGGATCCCGGAGAGGAGTAATCGCCCCCTTTCAGGGTCAGGCCCCCCACATCGCAGCCCTCATGAATAGGCCGATATGCTGTCATAGTCTGACTTGGGCTCCCTGCGGGAAGGCGCTCTTCATCTCCATTGGGACATGCACAACTCAGCTGTTATGGGGGGGGCTAGAGCTGGGGGGCACTGGAACACGTTGAGGTTGAACGCAATATCGCCGCTGCCATAAGCACCTGTCCTCAAGCCCCAGTGTTTGGAGAAGACTGTGGTGGGACTTCGGGGCTTCCGCCAGCACTCCAGGTTATTCCAGCAATATTAATCATCCTGGAAGAGGAGAGAAAAGGTGGCCTTAGCCTTGTAGCTCCGAAGGCACATCACAGGGCAGGCCCACTTTGCTGCTGGGGGAACAGAGCTGGAACCTGCTCTTCTACCGAAGCCATAATATGATATTTGAAATATGCTCTACGTACTCTGGTAAGTCCAAACTCCCCCAGATTTGTGGACATAGGACATCATCAAGAATTGACTGTGGGCCAAGTAGCAGAAGCCGCCCAACCCTGATGTGTGACAGCCCTTCTCTGGTGCTTCTTCCACCCTCAGAGAAGAATCAGGCTGATGGTCAGAGGTGGAGCAAGATCCAGAGGAAGGTGCAGCTGTTCTTCCAAAACAGAACCCCCCCCCCCCAAAGCCTCTAGAACTAAGCAGGTATTGGAAGGAGCTCTTCCAGAGTTTGGGGCTCCTTACACAGAACTTGAAGATAAGGAGTTTCTACCCCCTTATAACATACCCAATGGAGTCACTCAAATGAGGTTGAGAGGCCAAAGAAACACCAAACTATGGGATTTGCTATCGCAGATGCAGTGAGGGAGACCAGTCCGGACAGTCATAAAAGGGACTGGGCCAAGGGATGGCTATCAATGGCTGCTTGCCCTAGTGGGGAGTAACCACCCTCAGGATTGGCACCAGGCAGGGAGCTCCTCACCACAAATGGGTTGGGGAAGATGAGCAAAGGAAGCGACATCCTGCTCACATCACACTCACTGGCTTCCCCCCGGGGCCCCAGATTGCCCCCAAGAGGCCACTGCTCAGATCCAACTCCTCCCCCTTTCATCTACGTCCAAACAGCCATTTTTCCCAAGGACCAAGAGGAACTGGCTTAGCAGACAGACGACAACGCGCCCAAGAGCGACCAGCATCACAAGTCAGCGGAACGGCTGGACTCCCGCAGAAGACCCGCAGGGTGAGCTCTGAGGAGAGCAATCATTCCCAGGTTAGGAACTGAGAACCCACCACCTTGACTACTGCTCCTCTTTGGTCGAGATGATTATCAGAAAGAGTGAAAACTTGCTTGATCACAACTGTGGAAAAGCGTGTGGTATGCACTCCAGCTCCTATGAGACGCAGGCGGTCCCTAGAGCCCTTCACTGGGCCCTTGTCCCACTGAGCCAAAAGCCTGCAGCGCTCCCCCTCGGCGCAAACGGTCCTCCCCACCAGCTGCTTCCGGGAGCCACATGCAGCCAAAGGACCTCAGAAGCAGGCAGAGGATTGGGACCACCCCTTCACGCAGAATCATCCCACTGCGTGGCCCTCCTACGCAAACGGCGAGGCTGTCTTCGCCTGGATATTGGGGCGTCCTGAAGTCCAAATTCCTCCCACAGTCAGGAGGCCAGCGGAGAACCCCCAAAAGCCCCAAGGCAGGCAGGGTGCTTGGGCGGATGGCTCCTCGCCTTTGCCCGCGTGGAGCAAAGCGGGAGGCAGGGGAGGCAGCCCTCCTTCCCTGCCCATTTATTTACGTAAAAGATTGTATGGCCGCCCATCTTAAACAAAACTCTGGGCAGCTGACAGCAACACAACTGCTTTAGCTAGCAGTTATGAGGCCCCTGCAGTCCTCATAGCTTAGCCAACACGGAGGCCTCCAACTACAGAATCTCAGGTGGGCCACGAGTGGATGCTGGCAACGTGGGGAAGCAGGAGTCTGCGGGCAGCACTGGATTATACCCCAGCAAAAGCCAGGATAGCCAATGCCTCCCTCACCCCCTGGCCTGGATCCAGCTCTCCACGAATCTCACAGCCGGCACACCATTCCTCCCCGCCCATCAAGAACACCATTTCCACGGAGGCTGTCCAGATCCACAGTTGCCCCGGTCTCGGCTGCCCACAGGTCATGGAACAGCCCCAGACAGAGTCTCCCTCAGTGCAGAAGGGAAGGGGGCAAGGACTTTCCCAGGGCACGGGGAGGGGGTCTGTGTCTGAAGCCATCCTTCTGGAGCAGGGCAAGCCGCTTGCAGCCAAGACCCAGAAGGGACGCCATGGCACAATTTGGCTCTGCTGCCCTGAATGCCAACACGCCCTGAACGATGGAGGAGACAGACTTTATCAGGAGGAGGAGAAAAGAACTGGGCAAGGCAGGCCAGACCTGAGCAACAGGGAAGGAAACGGGCCCCTCCCTCCGGAAAGCACAATGGAACTGCTAGCAGAGACCTCCTTGGGCCTCTCCGCTTGACGCTCAGCCCTGCACAGCAAGACGCTCCTCGGCACCTGCTGCAAGAACCACGCAGCGCAGGCACTGCCAAGGCAGGAAATCTGCCTTCCTTGGCAGGCCCTCCCCAATCGACCCGGAGGACATCACACTGAAGAAGGCGCAACAGACCACGTGGTGCTGGACGAGCCCCATGCTCCAAATTTCACTCGCGCAGCATCCCCCAATGCCTACTGGGAAACGCTTAACTGCCCGGGCCTCAGGAAAGATTCGGCGGCCGCCCCCCACACTCTGCTTCCCCTTAATAAATAAATCACGGGGAGTTCGAGCCTCAGAGGCTGCGCTTGGAAACGCTGCAGTGGAAGTTACTCCTCCGGCTCTCGCTCACCCAGACCTCCTGCGGCTGGTCAGGATAGACAGCCCCAGCGCCCAGCCCGACTCGGACCTCCGACTGCGGCCCCTGCCAGCTCGCTCAGGAGTCCTGCTCCCCCGCAGGCAGGCGGGCACTGCTGACTGGCACGCAGCCGGGCTGGACTTTCGACCCTCATCCAGCGGTAGACAAACATTTCAGACCAGGCAGAAGCTGGACTCTTTAGCGAGAGGGGTCTGGCTTTTGGAAGAGCTGGATGCAGGGGAGGGAGCAACGCAGCCCCACAGCGGGTTTGGCAGCTCCTCCCCAAAGGTGGCCAAACACAACTCATGGAGCAGAGCTGGCACTTTGCCCCCTCTCCGCAGAGCGCTGGCCTGCCCAGGCTGCAAGGAAGAGCAGTGGGGAGCCACAACCGCCCTTCCCCGACCAGGAGGTGGCCCGGTTAGGAGCCGGGACCGTCTTGCAGCCTGTCCATCCCTTGCCCGTCTGTTCTGCTGCCGGACCTCGAAGGCACCTTCCTGAGAAGGCAGGCTGCCTCCTGCCCGAGCAGTTTGCTGACTCCAGGACCGTCCAGGGTCCCAGCCTCTCCCGCCCAGCCAGGCAAGCCAACAGCCCCAGCCTCAGGCCACCAGACCGGAGGGGACACACGCAGACCCTCCTTTCCACGCAGGCAAGGAGACCTGCAGCTCAGGCTAGCGTTCCCCTCAGGAGCCATGAAGACTGGGCTAAGGAGAGGCATCCTCCAGGAGGACTCTTACGGCCAGGCCCACCCCTATTAGCGGCTGCAGAGGAGCACACCCTTCTTGCCTCCTGGGCAGCAATGGGCCTGGCCAAGCGGCGCTTAAGTCCTCCTGCCTTTGAGTGGGAACTTCCCTGCCAGGCCCATCGGTGTCAGTTGCCTCCCGCAAACAAAAGATTCTGGGCCACCTCCAGACTCTTTCCAAAAGTCCTTCGCACGAACAGGACAGATGTGCACATGGAAGCCTTGCCTAATTATGTTCAGGTGCATGCAAAAATGACCATGTGATACAAGTTTCAAGGACTCCCTAAGAGAACAGAAGCCAACTCAACCTCTAGGCGGAAGAAAGTTAACACATTTTCCACAAATGCAAATGCAGGCTTGCTATTTCTGTGCAGTTATGCACAATCTGTCCAGAGCTCATAGTTTGGCACATGCCTGTAATCCTACAGCTATTTCTCCCAAGGACTTGTGAAGGGAGGCTGCTAACAGGGCCAACTTACTTTCTGCAGCCAGAAGGCTGACAATGGTCCATCATTTGCCACACCCTGAACGGGACATCTAGAAACACCCTGCCCTCAAATGCACAGCCAGCAGTGGCCCTCGTAAAGCCTTCCCTTCATGCCATCAGCTGCAAGTGAACGCTTCCTTCCTTTGAATGGGAGGAGGGCTCTGATCCATGGGCTCTGCCCCTTGGAAGCAGGTGGCCATGGTTCACCTCCTTCCTTCTGGTGGGAACCTCCATGGCAAGAACCTGGTGGCAGAGCGGAGGTGGCCTAGCCAAGATGTCTCCAGTGCTGGAAAACAGCAGCTTTGGGAAGGCTCCAAAGAGGGTCCTGAAAGTTTTTCAAGAGATAGCTTTTCTCGAGGTACCCCAATAAACCCTCATGGGCACTTTGGTACTGGACTCAAGCACCCATGAGCAGCACTGCATGCTCTTCATCAGCACACAAGCACGGCTGAGCAAGGCCGGCCCCCGGCACGCCTATGTTTGGGAAGGGACCAGCGCTCCAGGGCCAAATTCTTAGAGGACAGGATGCCATCCCCTAGGTAACGGTTTCTGCATGCCAGGGCTCGGCTGTCAAGGGGAGAACTGCTTGTTTGCTCCGTCACTCAGAGGGCAAGGCAGAACAGCCACCTGGGCCCTGCGATGAAGGCGGCAATTGTGACCCCCAGCCATTCTGCCCCCTGGCTCTCTTTGCTCTGCCACCTGCAGCCAAGACCCTCCTGTCTGGGGAGGGGGCACTGCCTTTTCAAGGGCTGCCCACAGCAGAGCTCTCCCGACTCCTTCAATCAGCCCAGGGGCACCAGCAGGAAAGCACGGCCACCTTCAGCCGAGGAAGCAAGAGGGGTGCAGGGGCCTCATCCCCCATGCTGAAAAAAAGCTCACACCCTCCAGGAGAGCACTTCCACCTCAGTTTGTTTGTGGGGGGACACCCCCCCGAGGCAACAACTACCATTCATGCCACATCCAAATGCATGGGCTGCAGCATCCAGTTGGGACTGACCCAGCTGGCAATGCAGGAGGCAGGAGGGGTAGGAGGGCAAGAGAAGAGCCTGCTGGTCTCCCGTAAGGGCTCCGTTCCTTTGGGCAAGCTCACTTCCCAGCCTGAGAGCCACAAAGCCACGATCACCACAAAGAAGACCCAGCAAGGATGGGCAATTGAGAGAGAGGAGGAGGAGGAGGAGGCTTCTGTACAAATTCAGGTACGGCCCTGCGTGGCACAGGCAAGGGC